TCTCTCTCCTTATATATATATATATACACCCACACATTTCTGTGTCTATACACATATATATATACACATATCTTTATATAGTTCTTGATTTTGTGTGCAGGTCTTAGCTGTCGTCTATATACTTCGATATCTTACATATATATATATATATATGAAAAGGAAAAATATAAATAGATAGATTATTAATCTTGGCTCAATTCAAAACTAAGCAGACCCCGCAACGGTCGACACCCGATCCACATAGAACCTCATCGCCCGAGCTTGCCTGAAGCGGCTAGACCCAACTTTTCAATCCCGCAACCTCTGTGGATTCTATAGATCCCTCCGAGCAGAACACGACCTTCGTATTTGAGGTTTCCCTAGGAAAAATAAAGCTTCCTAAACCAAAACCGTCCCGAAGCCTTACCTTCCATCCAGGCAGAACATGTATGACAAGGAGTGGGAGTACTGGGTGAAAGTTCGTGAACACGGCAAGCGACGACAAGCTATGTCGTACGAGGAAAACTTCAAGAAACTGAAGGAGGCCACTCTTTCGAGAAACCCGCAGTCTGGATTGAACCCGTTCTTGCCCAGCCTCGAGCATAGCATCTGTCCAGGGCGACGACATTCCTGATGACCTGGGTGCCATCGAGAAGAATCTCAACAACTTCGATATGGACTTGGACCCCGTGCGCGAACCCTTGTCAGATGCGCCGCCGGACCCCTCAGCCCACAAGTTTGCCCAGGTCCGAAATGTTTTCTGTAGCACTTCATACAGCTGTCTATAGCACAGAAGCATTTACATGAGGCAATTTTCATGTCCTGCTTTGGTTGCAGTCCAAAGAAACTCTGGAGAAGTTCACCAACTCCGTCATGACAAAGATCGGCAAACTACGATCGCTTGTGAAAGATCTTAAGACCAACTACAAAAACAGCGTGGATGCCCAACAGCGCCCTGTCCTTACCTGAAGACTGAAGACCACGTGTTCCAGAAAGTAGCTATCTGTAACCCTATATAAACCCTATAAACCCTGAACCCTATAATCCCTAAACTATATAGAGGTTCAACTACCCCAAAGCCCCACTTACCTTGCCAACCGAGGGCAGTCAGCAGCCTCGAGACTGCTGTCAAGGCTGCGGAGACACAGTACGATGCTCTCAATGAACTCAAGACCCAAGTGGGCATGCTCGGAATGAACAACGAGCCCTCCGTCTCAGAAGTGTATATATAGATAATCATTATATGTAGGCTTCGGAGATTCCGGATTTATTTTCTATATAGACATATAGCCAGTGAGCTGCCAGATCACACACGGTTTTATCCTGCGATACTGGGTTCTTACCTGCTGAACCTTTTATTAAAACAAGCTGTACTGTATGACCCTATAAATCCTCAAACCCCCCCATATAATTGTAAGTACATTCAAAGTCTGACATGCAGCCCAGGCTGCATGGCAAGGTGGAGGAAAAAATGAAGCAGTCCACGCTGGTGTCCCTCGGCTTCACTACATGTCGTGCTCAGAGAGGCAGCCAATGCAAGACCCGCAAATCTTAAGGTGCAGTCGTGCGGCAGCTACCGAAGCGAAGATTCGGACAGTTCGTAGATTTTGGTATGCGATCGTTGCAACTGTAGTGATTTCTAAAAGCCCTTGACAACTGAACTTGTTTGGCAGGACGGCCCGGCGAAGCTTTCAGAAGTCTGCGACTGCGGATGAGAAGCAGAAGCCGAACAACAGCGGCAAAACCAAGTCCCCGAAGAATGACAGTGAGAAACCCGCTGCAAAGAAGGGTGCGACTAAGGCAAAGGCCAAGGCTACAAAGTAGTTGATAGGGCCTGGGTTCGTGCCATGACCTGCGCTGTGCTCGAGGGCAGTGGCAATCGGCACTGCCTTCTGATGTGCAATTCAGATTTCTGTGAATCCGTCCAACATGCCAAGATGCAGCGGGGAGCTGTATGAAAAGTCTACACCGCGACATGTTCAAGTTCTGCTGATAGTGACCGAGCCCAACTATACACTCAAGTCCGAAAACTTCCGAAGCCAAACCCCGTTCATAAGTCGAAGCTCCGTTTCCATGCCAGGCTCCACTGCTGCTAGCCATACAGTACGTGGGCTCAGCAGCGACATTGGCGAGGGGGCCCGAAACTCAAAGGTTTTGCTGCTTTTGCTGGCGTCTCATGTGCATGTTCCCGAAGACAGACCCTGTACGATCTCCGAAGCTTCTTTTTGGATGCAGTATGTACAATACCTTATAGTGGGATTTCGCTGGATGTCGTTGGCCTCTGTCGGCAATGGATGCTGCAAATCAAGCTGAAAGTCCCGATGATGAACTTTGGGATCTCCTTACATGCCATCGTGATGATGCCACTCCTGCGTTATTCCTTACAACTTTGCTTTCTTGTCGTAGTGCTCCATTTAGTATGTGTTGTAATCAGTACCAGACTTAGGAAAGCCTGGGTCCATACCCGTGGGACAAGCGCTCGAGAACCCTGGTGGTTGCAGCAGAGAAGCCAGCAGTAGCAAAACAATGCCGAAGGTGCAAAAGACTGTTGCTAAGGCTCGTTCTTCAGCACAACATCAGAGCATCAAGAGCATTGAGCACAACTCTTCTTTGGGTAAAGACCGCAATCTTCGCGATCAGTTGGATGCATCACTGAGATTCGCTGAAATTCACAAGCGATGCCTTGAGATTCAGTGCATTTCCTTCAATTTGCCACCGATGGGTTCTACTGCCGGCAAGGTTTTGAAGCATGCAACAACCGAGGTGGAAAGACTTTTCAAAGCGCAGGAACCGCTGATCTTCAAGCTGGGTTACACTCATAACCCGGCATTTCGGTGGTCCAATGCCATATACGGGTACAAGAACGATCGTGCTCGATGGTCGAATATGATGGTTCTGTTCGTTTCTCCGGAACCATGTGGACCTGCGATGCTCGAAGCTTGCCTAATCGACAAATTCGTCAGTCGTTTGGCTGCATATAGATCACCTATATAAGTTTCTAAATCGTGCTGTTTTCTGTTTTCATGCAGAACGAATGAGAATCCGAACACAGTCGAGGTCGACAAGGATGTCGAAACGTCAAGTCTGGTGGTGACACGGTGCAAGCTTCCTCGCTCGACTCAGAAGATCGCTTCATGACATACATAGTGTACAGATCCTTTAAACATGCTCCTCATCGTGCTGCTGTATAGACCCAACATTCCGCATTTTACCGACAGGAGTTTTGTACAGTAAGAAGTTTCACGACTGCGTTTCGAGCAAGGTGCTTCGCGAGCGCTCCGGGGAACGAGTGCTACAAAAGTTTTGTTGCAAGCCATTCTGTTTACCGTTTGCATTCACCTCTGCAGCTTTGTGCAACCTTGATCGTTCTGTTCGTTGTTCGAGTTTTAATCAATTCGCGTCCGCCCAGGCCTCTGCCACATCGGCAATCCGGACTGCGAGAAACGTGGTCAAGGACGTTGGTTTGGAGAAGGCTCGTGGCATAGGCGGCTTGCTTCCGCTAGCGCGAATTTCGCAAACTCATAGCGAAAAGGGAGCGCATTCTTTGCTTTCGAAGAAGCTCGGCCTCGCTTTACAGATTCCTTTGTCAGAGACACCATGCGAACAAGCAGATGGAGAGCCGCCGAACCGATTTCAAAGGATTAGTATGGTGGACTGGGCCCGCTATTTTTCCAAGCATGGTCACTGGCACATTTTAGCTGGCTTGCGCAAACCTGACGAAGCTCGCGAGGGGAGGATCTGGAAAACCTGGTGGGAGCGGTATCGACTCTACGAGCCTTCACACCCGATTTTTCAAGCTGCTGACGCGAACAAAATAGATCTAAGCAAGACCATCAGGGTCCTTCTTCACGGGGACGAGGGCCGCGGCCGCCGCCGCGCAGCATTTTTTATCTTGAGTTTTCATTCAATCTTGGGAAGAGGCACACTTCAGTCCTTGGGAAAGACAGACAAGGAGTTGCATTCATCTACCAAGAAGGTCCGGAAATCGTACTTGAAGATGAACTTGAACTTTGTCGGACATTCGTACACGAATCGATTTGTCACCGCAGTACTTCCTCGAGCAGCTTATGGTGAAAGCGACAAGCATTTCTATGACGCGTTGTCCGCGGCCTATGATGATGCAAAATATTTGGAGACCGTGGGCGTGCAAAATAGGCAAGGCGATCGACGCTGGTTGTGCCTCCTGAAGACCGTAGGCGATTGGCCTTTTTTGGCCAAGGCCGGGCGTTTGCAGAGAACATATGCTAGCAGTGTGAAGCAAGTCAACCAGGCAGAGTCGGGAATCTGTCACCGCTGCGAAGCGGGGTTTCCCCATGCTCCATTTGAGCAGATCGGAACAAGGCGGCCGGCATGGTTGCGCACAGTCAACGCGTCGTCCCCTTTTTTATTGGGTTCCTGGCCTCCAGCTGTTAGGCTTGTGGACAACACGGACCGCCTTGCCGAGCATTTCGCATTCGACTTGTTTCATACATTTCATTTGGGAGCGGGCAAGGAAATGTATTGGCGATCCTATCAAATTTGGAAAGCGGAAACGTGGAGCAAAGGTTTCAGCAGTTGACCGCCAAGTATCGGGAATGGTGTAGGAGGACCAGACACACAATGTTCGTTTCCAAGCTGACGAAAGACTTGATAGCATGGGAGACAACATCCGATTTTCCATGTGGAGGATGGTTTAAAGGTGACTTGACAACCACGCTTCTGGAGTGGATCGAAAGTCTCGAAGGCTCGGTGATGGATCCGTTGTTTCTTCTATCAATGGAGGCAACGAAATCAATAAATCTTTTCTTCCGGATTCTCTACTCGGAAGGTGTGTGGTTGTCCGTCGAGACAGCAGCGCGGACTGGGCAGCTCGCGAGCAAATTCCTACGACGCTACGAAGAACTGGCGAAAAAAGCATACTCTGATGAAGTGACTTTGTTTAGCATGCCACCGAAAATGCACGCTTGCTCACTTGCGCAAATGCCAACCGCATGGCGTTGAACCCGCTCGCGCTGAGCACTCAGATTTCCGAAGACCTCGTCGGGAGGCCTTCGAGGTTAAGCCGGCGTGTGAGCTCTCGGCTGGTTGTTCAACGCACACTGGAACGATATTTGCAGTCGTGCCATGCAAAGTGGGTCGCAGCTGGACTGCTTATCGAGACGGCGTCCGAGAGATGCGAGAAAACGATTGCGGTTCAAGGGCGAGCATGCATCGGCATCAGATTCATTCAGGTTACATTTCGAAAACATCCTTCTTATCCAATCCATTGCGATTCTTTGTGAGCTTATCTTACACCGTAACATCATCACGACATGTTGCAACTCCTGGGATTTACAAAACCCCGGTTCTTGAAGTGAAACATTGGGTTTAAACCTCGACCCTATTTTTTTAGCGGGTCTGGGCTCCGTAGGTAGGGTTTCGGGACTAGTGTTTCGCGACTAGGGTTTCGTGTCTGGGATCTGGGACCGA